GCACAGCAGGATGTGTCCTGTTTCCTAACACAAACATGCACACACAAACTCATACCAACAAGACAGTCGAGTCTTAACTGTGCACATTAATTCAATTGTTACATTTATTTTAGAACTGAATGTGTTTTTGATGCAATATGCTAACTCGTTTTTCAGAACGGACTGGAATATTAACATTTGAAACATCATGTCCCAAACATCATGTCCCGTCATTTCCCAAAGAGCCATAAACTGTGTTAACTGATCTATTGATCTAGCACAGATGAAAAGTCCTGAAAGAGCGGATTTAACCTTACTGTTAAATCAGATATGGTGTACTGCATGATAAAATGAGATAATGATCTATAATGTAAATAGGCTACAGTGAGATGCAGGTCACTGCTCATACACACTAAACTCAACAAGCATCCAGTGATCTGCTCATTCACTTCTAAATGATGTCTGGTTTTCTATTATGACCAAGGTCCACTCCACAGTTCTCGGATGCATTTCATTGGCTGAGCTTGCGTGCTCGCCTGTCTGTGACTTTAATGTGAAGGTTTGGTCAGCCTTTCATTTGACGTTGTTGTGGTTCGAGGCAGAGGTTATAAAACGTGAACTGAACACTTGCTCTATGCTCTACAATATGTTCTGCCTCAGATACAACCTCATGTATACTGATATATATATATAAAGATTACACGTATAAATGAAGCTGCAGCCTTTTAAAAAATGTTTCTACTTCCCAGAAATACTATCACCATTGAAATATGGGGACTGCAGCATCAGTGGGGTTACATCGGTTGTACAGTTAATAAAAGTGCATTATGAGTAAAAAAGAGTGAAGTATATTTAATTGTTTTCTCAGAATTTTTACAGCACTACAGAAGGGCTGCCATCATACGATGAGAATGTACTATATAAGGTTCATTCAATTTGAAGGGCACTACGAACGCCATAAGAGTGAAGTAAAGAGGGAAATTTACCCACCAGTCACTGCGTATCACTCCGGCACTGAAAGAAGTTTGAATAAAATGAAGGCAGGGAAAATGTGTTGAGACTCTGGCGTTATTATTAAGTTTAATTAGCCACAGGTGTTGTTTGTGTGCAGTTGTTCAAGTGTAAAGAATGCTAGAGCCAACAGTTACAATGCAACTATCGTTGATTATGGCTAAATTAGATTAAAAGACGTAAGAAAAGTGCATTACATTCACAAAATCGGATCATCATACGTCAAACTTCTCTAATATGTGTTTTTTTCTCTCCAAATTATCTTACTTTAATACACTACTAAAACCTTCTCCTTCTTTTGAATGTTATATTGCAAAAGTAATGTATTTGTCTAAAACATCTTAACTTTCAGTCCTCAAGCCTATATTTTAGTTTTTTGGAAAAATTGTGAAAGACCTTTTGAGCTTCTCTGTGTTGTTTTTAATAAGCTTCTCTTTACTAATGTGGGGAAATGCTGTGAACTCCAAAACCCCAGTGCTTTTTATTACAAAAATGTTTGGAAGAACTCGAATGCGAAAATAAAGTGAAACTGAAGCGCTTTGTGGTTCCAACGCATGCTAAAAGCGAACCACATCGTCGACATGAAGCGAAGGGACTTTTACCAAACTCGAAGCTTCAAAAATTCAAAGTGTGGAGCATGCACATACTGTGATTAGCTCTGATGCTTCTGAAAACGCTGTATTATGAGCCCCATGTGTACATGCAGTAGTAGGACAGAATAAAGGGGAGCTCTTACGCTTTGAAGCATGCAGCGCAAACAGACTTTTAAAGCTCACACGACCATATCATGGTTTCAATTATTATGTGATTAATTGGGCACCTGTAGTCCTCCTCTGCTTTGTGCAGTTAAAATCACATAATTGCCTGTAGTAGCAATGCTCCATGCATCTTTTAGGGGGGTGACTGTGGTGCATTGGTGATTAAAACAGCAGCCGGCTGTGGAACCTGCTTACACAACTCTTGGGATAAAGGAAACTGTAGCAACAACACTCCATATACTCTCTCTATTTCAGGAAGTAGAAACAGAGCAAACCATCTCCACTAAACAATAGAGCTTGTTGTATGCATGGTAAATGTCAGAAATTCCAACCATAGCAAGACAATACATTGGACGGCGGTGTTCACTTGCCATGCAATGGGTTCATCTTAAACAGCTTACACAGAACAACTTTCTGATTGTGAGGCATCACGCATTATATTTAGGATTACGAGTCTTTGAATGAAATTGTAGAAACCTAAATATTCTAGTGATGCCAGCCACTTCGAAGTATCAGATCACTTTCTGATTTGGCTGAAAATAAATAGTTGTGCGCAATCTGTATTCTATATATAGAGAGCAGATGGTGTTAAAGGAACTTCTTGACTGATTTTATTTTCTCTTGATCTTTTCTCACTGTACACAGCAGTTAACTGGGTGCAAATTCCCTCCAGTGCCTGATATGTTTTGTGTATTGAAGAGCAGTGACACGCCTTCAGAAAAGATCAGATGCTTCATATGTAGAATTTTCTAGTTTAACTATGATTTATCTTGCTGAACATGAGTGAGTGAACTTAACCACACTTAATGTCCTGAAGTTACAGTGAATTACATGACTATTTAGTAGTGTGCTATCTACTTTAAATTAACCTTGTGAACAGTTATGATTAAGCTGTTATAGGAAAAAATTATAACTGCTGTGTAATCTAGATTTCACTGTATTCTGACACTGATTTCTCTGTCTTATATCTATAGGATGTGCATAGAGAGAGATAGAGTGCACTAAAGGTGCAGTCACATTTACTGTTATTCGGCATCTTTTCAGTAGTAATCCATATGATCCAGAACTTTGCGTAAAGGTGAAAGATTTCCCCACGCAGGTTTCGTAACGGGTTCAGCACAGTACTGCAATACGGTTGTCAGATTTTGCACTCAATACACTTGTGTTCATAAAGCATTTTGGTTTTAATGAGTGTGACAACCGCAGCCAATAACCAAACTGACACCAATATTCAGGACTCACAACCACATTATCTGCAAACACACACTGATTGATAAAACATTGGTTAAGGTACAAGTTAACCAAATGATTAATTGTCTAATCAGAAAATATTCAATAGATTATTTCCCACAATTATCTGTACAATTAATTTTTACATTAATATTAGTAGGTATCAGTGGTATAGGGTTGAAAGCAGAACTGTGGTTCACAGCATGAATGAACCATGCTTAGCCACTGTTCACAGTTTTACTGTTTACTGTGTTATTTACACTGGTGTAGTCTTTGTTGCTTGTTTAAGTTGTGTCATGTGGTGGAAATAGCAGCTCTGTCCCTGTGTGGTTACCATTGTCATAGTAGTGTGTGTTTGGATGCTAAAGACCTCACACAATGAATCTTTTTATTCTGCAGAGATTTTTTTGCCGGGCAACTATTTCATGAATTTAAAGCAGAACTGATGAACCAACAGCTTTTCCACTAAAATGTTTCTCATATCTTGCATGGCATTGTTACTGTGAGAGATATTCACTCTATAAAATTGAGAGAAAACAATGCAGCTTTGCCCAATTATCCATGTGGCCCAATGGAGATTTGATGATATATTGTACTGTATGTGAACTACAATTACTTTGCCTTTGACAAAATACAATATTTTCAAATTATTAGTATTTGTCGCCAACTCTAATTGGGTGGACCTGCCATCATTCAGTATGAACCAGTGCCTCTCTCTGGCCCTTATGTGGCCTCGTCCCTGATGTGTGTATGTGTGTGTTTGTGTTAGGCTTATGTGCTATTTATACAAGCTCCAAAACAACTTTGACCACCTCCTTGCTGTTGTCCTCTGCAGTTTTGAAATGCTATTTTTAGCTCCACATGCAGCACAAAGATTATATTCAAATATACTATGGGCTCTGCTATCCAAATGTGACCTACTAAATCTACATGCCAAACCCCATTCAATATTCTCTCTCTGCGCTACTGATCTAATTCTTCATTGGTTCATACTTGTAAACATTATAAATCACAATTAACTATTTAAAATGAAAATTAAACTCATAGAGCTATATAGAGATACTGTAAACCCTGCCTTTCCTATGTATCGGACATGTGTCTACGCCCTGCTAATGAGGAAAGTTTCCTGTTGGCTGTTTTCCGCTTCCACTCTGATGCTTCATTTAGCAGCCTCACAGAGACCTGAGGCCGATTGCTGTATTAGATAGTGAGTATTAAATACAGACTTTAACATTACCCCTATCAGTGCAAATGATGCCACATCTGATAGCAGGGTCAGTCTGAGTAATGATTAGATTAGAGCCAGCCCATCAACTCATTTTAGGAATGAACAGTGATTACAGAAATCCTCTGCTCCTGTGATAAAGGAATGCACATCGGTTTAAAGAAGGACAGTAGATTTGACAAGCTTTTAAAAGTTGCAGGACGTTTAAAGTCATGATGCTAGCTATGGGGAAATGAATAAATAGCCTAAATAAAATGTATAAATGTGTATAGATGTAAAATATGTTGTAAACATTATTATAGTTCAGTTAGTTAAAAAACAGAAAATATAATGCAAGTAATCATGCCCTCTAACCCGTATATAAATTCACGGTTCAAGCTTGATGTACCATCGTCATGTTTTTGCAGACAATGTGGCTCTTCGAACCACACTTATTGAGAGCAGGCGGCACAGAATAAGTAAGGAACCGTTCACACAGGATGTGTTCTTGTTTTCAAAAACCGCCAGACAAAGTGCAATGGGGGTGTCTCGTAACTTAATAAGGTATGAAACAGAAATACACCACTGTTGCTGAGGTCTAGCCTTGAGCAAACAGCTGATTGGTTTGTAGCTAGTGAACATTGTGAAATATGCATTTTTATTTGTAATTTTTTACAGATTTTTTTTGACATTTTTGTTGATAGACACAGTAATAAGAGACAAGGAGGTACATTTACATGTACAAAATGTACATTTCAAGTGGTTTTTTTTTGGTGAGGTGTATACAGTTACAAAAGCATAAGATTTTGCCACTTTCAAGCATGATGTTTTCTTGTGCTCAGGAAAAGTATAAGAAGAGCTCGTCGCTCCGGCCGGACAGGGCATCATCACAGTATGGTGAGGGGCGTAACATTTCCGTCACACGCTTGAGGCATTCAACCAATCACAAAGCACTGGACAGCTGGCCAATCACAGCACACCACGCTTTTTCAGACCGATGAGCTTTGTAAAAATCAACGCGTTTCAAAAAGGCGGGGCATAGAGGAGAAACAATAATGTACAGAATGTGTTTTTTTAACCGCATAAACACATTTCATTACACCAAATACACAAAATAATGTTATTTTTAGCAACATCATATGACCCCTTTAAAGACTGTGTAGCTGATTCACTTTTGGAAAAAAAAAAAATAGTTTTGTACTTTGAATTTGCTCAGTTGACTGACTCTTAATACGCTTGGTTGACCAACCAAAATAAGTCCCCACTGACGCATTAGTAGTGCTATAGACTGATGTCACTGTAACTAATGCTAATGTCTAGAAAGTGAACTGAAAGAGTGCAAAAGGAAGGTAGATTGTATAGAGCTCGGCTACCATTTAGTGAACTAGAATCAGTCAATTGCATTTATTAACATCTTTGTTCATAGTCATTTAGAAAATTAGCAGAATGTAATCCATTAGATCTGCTAGTGCTAGTTACGTTTATGATTGTGTGAGTGTGTTTGTTTGTTTGTTTAAAATTACATGAAAATGCAGTGTTCTGGAACTAATGTTAATGTAGCCAGTCCAGTCAGACCATTAGTCTTTTCATTTCATGTAAAATGCTTTTTAAAAATAGTTTTCACACTTTGTAGATTCGATTAAAGATGCTACACTTTGTTCTGATCAGTGATAGGCTTTCTTTTCTTTATTTCATCATAAATCACTTTTAGAAAACAGCAGGAAGTACATATTTACTTCAGGGGAAGCCGATGGAGCTTTCACTCGTGCTTGGGGAAAACCAAAGGCAGGGACTTGAATGTTAAACTCATTAGACTTGCAAATTTGAAAAATGTAAATGTCTGGTGTATGTTGGAGATTATGCCCTCACATTTTCAGCCTAAACAGATTTTCTCATAAATTTGCTCTTGATTCCCTCTCGTTCTCTGTTCTGTCGTCTCTGTAGTTTTGTCCTTCTCTGGCTCACATTCAGAGGAATCACAGTAGTCACATTAAAGGGGTGCTCCACCCAAAAATTCTCTCAACTTTTACAGTACTCACCCTTATGACGTCCCTGATGCGTTTGATATTTTTCTTTAGATAAACAGAAAGAAAGATTTTTTCATAAATTATCTATATTATCATAATGTTTCGAAAACCACACAAATTAAAGAGAGCATGATGGTAATCAATACGACCCCAAGTTAATGTATCAATGTCTTCTGTGAAATTCTATGTCAGCACATTGTAAGCGTGTTCTGAGCACTGAGGCGCTTACATCAGGCTTTACAATGTCTTGTATGGGAACTCATGAATCCGTCTATGACAGTTGGCCGGAAATTATGGTTTATAGTGTAAATATTCGTATTCTCTCACGCAGCTATTGTTTTGCTTCAGTAGACATTGATTCATCAACTGAGGTTGTGTGGATTACCATTGTACTCTCTTTGTGTGGTTTTTGATGCGTCAACTTTGGGGGTCCCATTCACTTGCATTATATAGACTCAAAGAGATGCATTATTTTTCTGAAAATCAGTAAATGATGAGAAAATTTTAGAATGGAGTATCCCTTTATCTGGCCCTGGTCATATAAAAAAAAATAAACATAACTAATGAGAGAGAGAGAGTATATAGTTTCAGTTCTGGCGACTAATTAAACTATTTGTAATGGTTTTATTCGAGGTGACCTGAAGTTAGTGCTGGGTGGTATACCGGTTCATACTGAATACCGGTGTTTATTTTTGTTATTATATAAATTTTTTAAATACCGCATACCGGTGTATGTCGCTTAAACAACGTTCGGTTTGAAAGGGGTCCCTTTTCACTGTTGCACTGTGGTGAGGGAACAGCTGTATGTGTTACTAAGCGTGAAAGTTCAGAAACTGAAGCTGTAGAACTAATAGAACGTGATGATGAAAGAAGAACTCATCCACAATATCCACACTGACCGCCACAAATATCCTCAGCCCCTGCCATCAGCTCCCGCGTCTCACACACACACAAGCGCAAGTTTAGCACTAGATTTAGCTACTTTCCTGACCCTTTTAGCGGCTTTTTTCCATAGAATATTCATACTGACAAACCTAGCGACTTTTTTGGATAAACCTTAGCTATGGTTCAGTTGGAAGATTTCCGCAGCCGTAATTAAAATCATTTAATTATTGTCCGTGCAGAGGCTATTCTGTTTTATTGATCTGTGGCGCATTCATTTTGATTCTTTACACGTGTAATGATGTCCAGTGACTTGTTTGCATTATTTATGCATTATTTTATTTATTTGTAAGACTTTTTTATGACTAAATTTGGTAATGGGAGAGTAAAAATATTTTTAAAACGTACACCGTTCAAACTAGGCTGCTTATGTTGAAGTGTTTGGGATGTGGCTTTTAATGATGAGATCTTTTTTGTAATCAGGCTCTCAAAAAGTATATAACAATTTGGATATAGATTTATCGGCCAACATATCGGTTATCGGCTTTCAAAAATAAAGAATAATCGTGCATCCCTAAAAAATACCATGATATACATTTTTGGTCATACCGCCCAGCACTACCTGAAGTGTGTACTTCCTCTTCAGATTACCTGATGCGCTGCAGCAGATAATGATTTATGAATGAATAAAAATACATGTTGTCCTTGTTGGTGCTATTGCAAGTAGCTTAGTCATTTTCTGTTGTGTCACTTCATTACAAATCCTGTGGTAAAAACAGGAAATTAGTTTAATAAAGGGCCTTTCGATAAGTGTTTAAGATCAAGCCTGACTTTAAATTTTGAAAAACACTGCTCTTTCCCATTGCTTTATGTTCCCCAGCACTGAGCTTATGTCTTCCTCTGGATAAACATCATTTGTTTAGTGCTAAAATAAGATGTTAACCAGCAACCAGCAGCTGTATGTAAAGTGTGCATGGTTGTCCCTGGTGTAGTTCACCTCGCCATGGAGAAAAGCTCTTGTTATTGTCAACCCTGGACCAAGAGCTGTTCACCCATTATTAATTCACTGAGTCCTCTGAGGTGAAACGCAGGGCTCGGTTTGCCTCTGAGGGATCTGGTGACTGCATCATCAGCTAGTGAAGAGTCTTTGAGTGAGAAACAGAGTGTGAGAAAAACAGATATGGTAAAGAAACCTAAATAAATCCTCTGTGGTCTCTGATCACTGCTGATAAAGAGCTATAGAAAGATATAGAACAGCTGTTTTCAAAGCGTGAGCCGCCCACCTTCCCCAGAAGGGCTCCAGAGCAGAGTCTGGAGATAAAGATAAAGTAAAAACTGAGAATGATAAAGTAACAGTGAAAAAACTTTATTCAAAGACAACTGAATTAATATTACTTATAGGAAAATTTCTCAACTTAGTAGGCTATGAATTTCCATTACTGTAGTTGCCTGTTCATTTCTATAGGGACAATGAAACAAACAAATGAATAAAAAACGAAAACACATTTTTGAATGAAAACTGGACAAAGCACTTCAGCAACTAATTGATAAGAGATGACATTTGAACAGGTCTGCAGCAAACTTAATTTATGCAGGTTTATCTTGCCTTTTTTATTTTAACTGCAATAAAAGCTGTATTTGTAATATAAATCTAGGAGGCACTTTTTTGTATATTTTCTCAGATGAGAGGTTAGGTGTTTGAAAATATTTTTTGTAATTATTCACTTTGTTATCTTTTGCTAATAAAATAGTAAAGTTCTCTATTTTGAAATTGCGAAAGTACACTTCAAAGGTCATTGTTACTTGATAAAGTTATAACAAGAAGTTGAACAAGAAACCACAGCAAGAGATGAGGTTTAGGTATGAATAAACCTCAGAATTTATACAAACTTACGATCATATCAGCTAGAATTTATGGTATAAATTCAGCAGCTGTGGTTGCCAGAGACTGACCAAAAAATTATAATTATAAATAAATAAATATATATTACAGTGACAAAGTTTCAGGTATTATGGGGTTGCATATTGGTACCTGTATATTTTATAACTTATAACCATATATTTCATTAAGTGGTATAATGTTGATATACCAATCTACCAAAATCTACTTTTTACCTTCAAATGTATTGATAACCACCATAATAATAACAGTAACACTGAAAAAGTACATTGTAAGTGGCTTATCCATGAAACAGGGCAAATACTTGTGTATAGATGGTGCACAGGGTCATACAAACAAAGACACAACACCATCAGGGTAACACACTAAAATAATGCAATATGTAACACAAAACAAACATCCTAATAATGCACTGTTAACAAAACTAAGAAGAAACTAAATGATTTAAATAAAATATAATCTTGCTGTGTCATGGAGGATCTTCTAGGAAAGTCCTTTTACTGTTTTTCTCCATAAATTTCTTGGCAATTCATTATCCTTTCTTCCAAAAACCATACACTTGACTGTATTTTACATTAAAATCGCATGTTATAATTTTTCACTGCATACGGTAAGATAACTTAGTCTATCAATTAACATTTTTTTCTTTTAAAAATGTACAGATATTTTACAGTAATGTTATGCTGTTACTAGACAGTTAAAAACATTAAGTAGGTTCCTGGTGTCCATCATAACACCTCTGACAGTTGTTTTGATCTATTCTCATTAACATTGACTGGCTTCCTTGATGTGTATCTCTCTCTACCTGCTGATCTTCTGCCAAACAGGTGCTTATACAAGGTCGACATCAGCATCTTCCACTTTTCAACACGTCCTCTGTGTGAGCTGATACCATCCTCACCCCAAAGTCACATTCCCCGATGTTCAGTCTGTGAGGATGTCAGGTCCATTAATCACCTGCATGGTGGCCGCAGATCTATTTGAGTGCTGTCCTTTGTACTGCCTGCCACACAACGCAATCAGCTCCTCTTCCCAGAATGCAAATTTAAAGCGAGGAAAAATGTGGGACCGACAATCATAAGCGTCCATTTATTTCACTTTTTGATTCATTTTCATATGAAGCAGTCTAAGTGATCTATCATTCAGTGGGTTTGAAGGAAGAAGACCAATGGGAAGGTGGCAATGTGTGACTGATCATGGCTTTTATTTACTGCCTTGTTAGCCTTTGTTGCTGTAGACTGACAGTTAACCCCCCCTCTCCTCCCTTTCCTTTAATCTACCTTCAATCATTTTAATGGGACAGTTTCTATCCAATAGGCTGTGGATTTATACTCCACTCCAGTCCTTGATCAAATTGTGGTCATGGCCTGTCTACTGGCAAATGACAGCAATCTCTTCAGACACTTATGACTTTGAGATGACCGCGTCTACCTCAACAATATTACTCCTGACACCTGCATTGTTTTTCTTATCATATGCTATGAAGAACTGTTCAATAGTAAAAATGTCTCATCAACTATTAAGTGCTGACAAATTATTGTTTTATGAAGTGCACAGTTTATTTACAGACACAAAGGAAATTATTTGTGTTGTTTGCAAGACCCACACCCCCTCATACAGAGATCCTGTAATGCCCAATAATGTAAACTGTGGGGTATGCTTTAATCTTATAGTCACAAAGTTATATTGCATTTGTAATAAAACATTGACAATTTGAATAAAATTAATATTATTGTTTATAGTTTAAAAAAAAATATTTAACAACAAATTATAGACTGATGCATCCTTAAAAAAAAAACATGAATTTACCCAAATATGCATTCTTAAATGTAGGGATGCACAATATTGGATTTTTGTTGATATCTGTAATTGCATTCTCAAATTAAATTCTGTGATCCAAAACAGTGAGAATCTAATCACCATTCAGGAGGCAAAAGTTGGTTTCAAGAATGACCACACTGCTGTTGTGATCTTATCACTAGCACACCCTGAGCACATGTGAGTTATTCGTCTTATCGACAAGGCATATCGGCATAATTTTTAATATCGACCCGATGCCAATGTTTACATTCTAAGCCTTTATCGGCTGATTCCAATGACTTTCCGATAATATCATGCATCCCTACTTAAAAGATTTTGCAGGGCTGCTGGCTTTTGTCTATGTGCAGTGTGTGGCTCTCACTCATGATAGCATTATATTAAGGTTAATCTAGGTTTACAGTTCATGTCTGTGGAGCTTCTGCTGTCATCATGACAATGGGCGATTACAGTAGTGCTTTCTAGCCTAGGGGTCATACGGTCTTATGGCCAAGGGTTGGGGCAAGGTGGAAATCCTGTTCCAGTAATCCAGTTGTGGAGAGGCTTTTTACATCCAGATGCTGACAGATGTTTTACAATGGGATTGGAATAAATTGCAGCTCTGGGATAAATCTAGACTTAATGTCAGGAATGAAGCCAGCAGTTTACAGTTCATGTCTGTGGAGCTTCTGCTGTCATCATGACAATGGGCGATTACAGTAGTGCTTTCTAGCCTAGGGGTCATACGGTCTTATGGCCAAGGGTTGGGGCAAGGTGGAAATCCTGTTCCAGTAATCCAGTTGTGGAGAGGCTTTTTACATCCAGATGCTGACAGATGCTTTACAATGGGATTGGAATAAATTGCAGCTCTGGGATAAATCTAGACTTAATGTCAGGAATGAAGCCAGCTTAAACTGATAGGTTGCCAACATAGAGAGCAACTCTAAATATCCTGGCTATTACTCCCATTCATTTCACTTTTTTGTGTTTTAAATGATAATTTAATATGTTTTGTTTCTGCAATTTCAAAAGTTATTTTTCCTCTGCTGCCGTATTCTATTTGCCATTTTGCTTTTTTTTTTTTTTTATTATTATTATTATTATTATATTTTTCTGGCGTTGACTCCATTTAATTGTGTCTGTGCAGCTGGTCGGTGGACAGTTTGATCTGGAGATGAACTTTATCATCCAGGAGATGGAGAGCATCATCTGCATGGTGGAGCTGCTGGATAAATGTGACTCCACTTGCCAGGCGGAGGTGTGGAGTATGTTCACCGCCGTGCTGAAGAAGAGCTTGCGAAACCTGCAGGCCTGCACTGATATCGGCCTCATCCAGCTGGTGCTCCAGCGCATCGACCGGGTCGACACCATGATCGCAGGTGTGTTAAACAGGGGACGAGACATGCCCTCTGTATATAAGTGACACTCTAATAGTTGCTGGATTACTATTTTTTGGATATAACAATATAATTAATAACAATATGTGACCCTGGACCACAAAACCGGTCATAAGGGTCAATGTTTTTCATCTGAATGCTGAATAAATAACCTATTGTCATGATAGGACAATATTTGGCCGAGATACAACTATTTTGAAAATCTGGAATCTGAGGGTGCAAAAAAATCAAAATATTGAGAAAATCATCTTTAAAGTTGTCCAAATGAAGTTCTTAGCAATGCATATTACTAATAAAAAAAAAAGTTTTGATATGTTTACGGTAAGAAATTTACAAAATATCTTCATGGAACACGATCTTTACTTAATATCCTAATGATTTTTGACATAAAAGAGAAATGTATAATTGTGACCCATACAATGTATTGTTGGCTATTGCTACAAATATCCCCCAGCGACTCAACACTGCTTTTGTGCTCCAGGATCATATATAATAACAATATAATTAATATAATATAATAAAATAACAGTAATATTTTTAAATATTGTTGCAATTTAAATTTTTTAAATGTAATTTATTCCTGTGATGGCAAATCTGAACATTACATGAAAATATTATTGATATATGATACCATGATACATTTTTTCAGAATTCTTTAAATATACAAAGTTCAAAAGAACAGCATTTATTTGAAATATAAATCTTTTGCAACATTATAAATGGCTTTACTGCTGAATAAAAGCATTAATTTCTTTAAAAAAATAATGTAATATTCAGTAATGTTACTAATGTCTAAATTAAGGATGCTGCTAAACATCTCTGTGTTAATGCTCTCGTACTCACAGGGCAATGTTGCTTAATTTTACTTGCAGGAACATCAGCATATATATTTTGTTAAAATTCATTATATTCATTCGGCTGTACATAGTATTGTAAAAATGCTTTAGATTATACACGCAATTATGACTTTAGCTCTCCGTCAGCATGTAGTTCTTCAGCCTTGCAGCACTGACACGTAGCAAAGCTCACACAGGGCTAATCAGCCACAAAGCTCAGTTTGGCATGTCAAGGCTTTCCAAATATAGGTTTTACATTTGTTTATAGCGACAACACTAACAATACTGTCTTAAAATGTAGAGGTTGTGCAATTGTTTAACACTTGCCATTGTGCATGTACAGTTTTAGTGATTCATTATTCGCATTTGGACCATGATGGGGCTTTTACACAGAAGAACAATTTTGCGTATCCTCAGGCAAAACTTCTCTGATGCTGCATAAACATTAACATGAACAACATTCTTATCCAAGTATCTTAACTGACCAAGTTAATGTTGGTTTTGACTGTAAATAGTCAAGAATACAAACTGAATTGTGACCCTGGAGCACAAAAGCAGTCTTAAGTCGCTGGGGTATATTTGTAGCAATAGCCAAAAAAACATTGTATGGGTCAAAATTATTGATTTTTCTTTTATGCCAAAAATCATTAGGATATTAAGTAAAGATCATGTTCCATAAAGATATTTTGTAAATTCCTACTGTAAATATATCAAAACTTAATTTTTCATTAGTAATATGCATTGCTAAGAACTTCATTTGGACAACTTTAAAGGCGATTTTCTCAATATTTAGATATTTTTGCACCCTCAGATTCCAGATTTTCAAATAGTTGTATCTCATCCAAATATTGTCCTATCAGCTTTCAGATGATGCAGAAATCTCAATTTTGAAAAATGGACCCTTATGACTGGTTTTGTGGTCTAAGGTCACAATTCAGCCTTTTATAAATTCCTCTTCAGTTGTAATGAAGCATTATCCTCATGTTTGCGTGTGTATGTGTGGTGTTTTCAGATCTGATGGTGGACATGCTAGGTGTGCTCGCCAGCTACAGTATCACAGTGAAGGAACTGAAGCTGTTCTTCAGTAAACTGAAAGGAGAACAAGGCCAATGGGTAATGGTCTTCTCCTCTTTATCTACTATTTGAGAAACATCTCGCTTCTCCACCTCACACTCAGTCATAATGCTGTGATCTCGAAGAAATTGATTATATATTTTATAAAGTACTAGGACTGTCATTTGTTTTAAATAAATAGAAGCTGATTTGTTAATTAATTTCTATGACATGCTCTTAATAATACACTTTCACAATTTACAAAAAATACACGAAATACAAAAAATGTATGTCCTTGTCCTCCGTTTAGTCTTTAGTGCGTGAGGGAGATGTTGAGACAGTGGAGAGGCAGGAGGGTTTGACGCATTAGGCTGTGTTTCTGAACTGCGGGACTGTGGCAGTACCATTGATCAGAGCGTGAAATAAACCCGTCAGAGCAATAGAAGAGCACACATCCATGTGTGTCTATATCATAACCTACCGGCAGAAGCCATTATTATGTCTCTCTTGCCTGTACTCGTTGCTGATGGACCAAATGTGTCTCAGGTTGGGAAATGTTTTAGGTTAGTTTACCTCAGTAAATTCAGAAATGAAATCCATGTCTAAATCCAGAAGATCTTTCTCAAATTTGGCACGACATGAGTAGGATTCAGACTAACGAAATGATTTGTGACTGTATATTTTGTATAGTGTACAGTATCTTTTATGCGTGTGGGAAAAATACCGCAGTCAAACTCTAAGTATTTATTTATGTGTGTGAGAGTTCATTTTTTGTTCTTAATGCTGTTGCTTTTTTCTTTTATCTATTAGCCTCCTCATGCTGTCAAGCTGCTTTCCGTGCTGAAGTGCATGGCTCAAAGAAATGGCCCAGATTCCTTTTTCAGCTTCCCAGGGAAGAGTGCTGCGGTGAGACCTAAACATCAGTCTAACTTGACTTCAGTCATAACGTCTGCCTCTATACACCGAGAAAATATTTATTGTGATTTTTGAATTAGTGATTTGAAAATGGCATGCCAGAATTTCTCTTCTTTTGCACTTGTCCGCTACCTAGACATTTTAACTTCCTTGCTATAAGAAACTTACAATGTGTTAAAATCAGGGAAATTATGCTTTGCCACCTTTTTGTTTTTTCAATTAATTATTTTTTTCGTCTGTACAATTTCTTTTCAAGGAATCACTTTATAGAAAGTGATTGAGAATCTCTGTCAGGACAACAGAATGACAGTTTAAATATCAGAAATTTATTTTTCATTTCGGTTTATTTTTATCTATCACACAGTATTACCATCACACAAAATACCTAAAATCCACACATTATAGCAGTCCAAAGAAGCCTCTTTTGCTCACCAAGGATGCATTTATTTGATCAAAAATACAATAAAACAGCAATGTTGTGAATACTATCACAGATCGAAACAACTGTTTTCTATTTTCATATATTTTAAAATTTTATTTATTTCTGTGAGGATTTCTGTATTTATTTTAAAACTGAATTTTTAGCAGCCAGGATTTTTCTCCAGTCTTTCTTCAGTGTCACATTATTCTTCAGAAATCATTCTGATATGCTGATTTGATGCTCAAGGAACATTTCTAGTATCATAACAGCTGAAACGGTAGTGCTGCTTAATTATTTAAGCATAATAATAATGAATATATTATTTCATTCAAACATTTAAATGACAGTGTTGATGAAATATAGTTTCAAGACATTATTTTTTCATTTCAAGTACTAAAAACTAACCTAATTAAATAATCATCCTTATATTACATTTTTCACTGCAAAAATATTTGGACTCATTTAGACTCAAAAGACACACACGCACTCACTTTAGAGACTTTTTCAAACAGACTTTAGGACTTTAAAACGTAATTTTTTTATGGAAAACATATATATAGAGTTAAACTCATCTTGTTTTTAGATTAAAAGACAAGCAAGTTTCTAGTTTTGAAAGAAACTTGAGAAAAACAGCTAATAAATATTTCAGGATAGACTTGTTTACATTATTCTGTGCATTGGGAGAGGACGGCAGTCAAATGTATATGTATAATTTTCTGATGTGATACACATGTCTTTGAAATGCTCCAACTGCCTGTGTGTGTGAGTTTGCATGTTTTCAATAAAAACCAAACCATCATCCCGGCAGCATGGGGGTCTTGATGTTTTATAGGGCATGTGTATGGAACCCTTCCTGTGTTGTCAGTGTCCACTTGAGACAGCGCCAAATGATTGCCGTCCTCTCAGGAAATACTTTGATTGGATGTTGTTTGGTGTTTAGATGTTATTCCAGCACAGATATGATGCTGGCTTCAGGAGGAAATAATACTGCGCTTGCCTTCATTTTTCATCTGTAACCCACAAATACGACAGGAAGTCTTCAGTGTACAAATGCTCACAACCGTTTTAACCACATCCCTCCAAGGATACTCCTTTTAGTTTTAGTTTTTCCATCCTGCTCATATGTTACTCTGCATGATACTCTGCTTATCTAAAACAAAACCACAAAATAAGGAAACCTAACTGGAAAAACTGTGTTTTTGTATCATCAGGCTATTGCACTTCCACCTATTGCAAAGTGGCCGTACCAGAACGGCTTCACCTTCCACACCTGGCTGCGCCTGGACCCCATCAATAACATAAACGTTGACAAGGACAAGCCTTATCTATACTGGTGGGTCACACACAAACACTGATCACACAAACCTGTGATGTAAAATACAACACCTCTGCTTTCTAGAGACCTGGACACCTGCAGTACATAGAGGAAGATTATCTGACTGTTTCGTTTGTCTGTAAGGTGCCAGAAATTAAAGTATTTGTAGGTGGTTAGATGAACAATAAGAAAATTCTGTATATTTTCCTCATTCTCTAGCGTTTACTCTTCTCAAGGGCAGCATTTCACAGCCGCCTTGTCCTATTTTCAGCTTCTAATTAATTTCTGTCAAAAATGTAATTTATGCAAATAGAGCTATTTTGACTCGCCAAACATTAATTGACCCTATAGAAAGATCTGTAGGATTTACACTCTTCACTGTGCTGAGATGAACTCTACATTACAGGCCTTCTTTCAAATGTTTGTTTGAAATGAATGTATATCTATTAATCATCTAATCATTTCTTCTGGCTTTTCTATTTAGTTCTATTGTGTTTTTTTCTGAAACTACTTGAAATGATGCTTTCATGTAACATTCGCAAGAATATTTTAATTACATTTTAGTGCACACAAACATTAAAATTGTCATAATTTAATGAACAATTAAAGATGAACAAAAGTCTAATGAGTTTTGAGCAAAAGTATTGAACTAACAATTAAAAAACACTTAAAAATAGAATGTATATACTGTATAGGCACACAATATGTTGGTTATGCACATTCAGCCTGTCTTTGGTTCTTCATAGACCTCAGATACTGATGTAATATTAAACATTTTTAATAATTCATACGTCAAAGGGTTAAAACTGTAGCTGCTTTTTCTTTTGAGAGTAAGAAATTTGTTTAAATTTGAGCACCCCTCTTCTGAAATGTAACTTTAATAATTGTGGTCTGTGTTTTATTCCCTCTTCCCTAGCTTCCGCACAAGCAAAAGTTTGGGCTATTCTGCACACTTTGTGGGCGGGTGTCTGATTGTCACCTCTCTAAAGTCCAAAGCCAAAGGCTTCCAGCACTGTGTGAAATATGACTTCAAACCCCAGAAGGTATGAATCACCTCAGCCATTTTTTTAGCTTACCTGTTTGTACTCTTATAATGTACACTTTCCAAAGTCTTCATCTTTAATTCTAAAATGTACAAGGAGAGCAAATTTGACATCAGAAGGAGGGTTTGTGTTACAGCCAAGTCATGTCTGAGGATTTGCAAGAAGAAACCAAATCCCTTCCCTGCTCATATGCCCCCTGGAATGGGCAGGCGTCCTCCTATATATATGTGTGTATATATAAGGAAAATCTACTTATGGGGCTAATATTGCTCAAATTCACATTTCTAAGATCAAGAAGCTTACAAGTGCTCTAAAAAGATTTCATGGGTTGATTTGGCCTATATTTAGAGTGCATTCCATTCCCTCTGGAGAGGTCTTACCTAAGGGATAAGCACCTTCATTGGGTTTTCCCACCATTTAATGGAAATTCAAGAAGATCTGGGTGAGGCCGTTGCTGGAGGGTGTAAATGGACCATAACTGTAGCAAAGTTTAGCGTTAGAAGTGTGCTGATGGACCTCATTTTTCTATAGACCAGGGTTTTTCAAACTAGGGTCCGAGGACTCCCAGGGAACCACAAGGGCATGCTAAAGTGTCTGCAAAAGATAGAAAAATGTGTTGTTAGGGCTGTCAAAGTTAACATGCACTTAAGTTCTTAAGTGCACTTTAAATTCTTATTCAGTGAATTTGATTATTACTATTTCATTCTGCTTTCTAAGGATTAAGGACTGATTAGAAAATCATAAAATGAAATCATAATTGTAGCTTATTTTATTGTATTGACACACGTACAGTATATACAAGATTTTCTGCCAACTGAATAGAGTAAATATTATCTTTATATTTTCACTACTTGCTTTACTACAATGGCAATGCCAATTATATAATTTTAGAAACTGATTTATAATTTCACTTTTAATATTTTTCTCACTCTGTATGAATGATTGTTTATGCACGAAAATAGAAAGTAGATTCTTACCAGGGGATAATCTTATTTTGGAGTCAGAAAGTTTAAAAACCCCTGCTATAATGCTCTCAAGTTTTGCGATATTGATATTAAATGACGCACTGTCGTTTGTATAATTGCTTTTTTTTTCTTCTACAGTGGTATATGGTGACCATAGTGCATATCTATAATCGCTGGAAGAACAGCGAAATCAGCTGCTATGTCAATGGAGAGTTGGCGTCATATGGTGAGATCACCTGGTTTGTCAACACGAGCGATGTAAGTAGTTTCAAAAGGCTCTGTTATCTCTCATTGTTCTGGTTTTTAACAGCCGTCAAGCTTGAGGCCCTGCTTTTTTCTCCAGAAGTGTTTTAGTTCAAAGCTTGTCAATATTTTAGCAGCTACAAACCCCAAAATACCCACAAATTTAAAGGATGAAACAAATCTGCTTTGACAGCAGAACAATAGCAAAAGCTAACATTTTCCAATACATGTGATGACATTAAATGTGATTATTCAGTCGTGTGTTGTTCTTTTCATGAACGGTGAGGTCCAGAATGTGAAACGTCTTTTCATTAAAATCATATGATTAGAATTTGGCCAGTGAGTGTGCAGGACACATAGGCTTTTTTTTTTTTTAATTGTACATGAAAGCTGGGCATTATTAAACACACACACAAAAAAAGTTGCTTAAGGTGGTGTCAGGCACTTTCTATTTATAACATTTAAAGAGCAGCATTTTGTAACAGCAAATTGCTGGTTTCTCATCTTGATTCATATGAACTAACAAGTGATACTAATACGGTTTATTGCTCTTTTATTGTATGCATGTGAACAATGAGTCTCATTAAAAAGCCCTTTAAAAAATCACTGTAATAGGACCATAGGTATAATCAATGCGCTCTAGCTGATTGAAGACCTGTGTACCTCAAGTGTGATGCGAGTAAATGACACAAAGTGCTGTATAAATGCTGTGATGTTCTAAAGTTTAGGGTCAGTAGGATATACTTTTAAGAAATTAATACTTTTATTCAGCAAGGATGCATTAAATTAATCAAAAGTGACAGTCGAGACAATTATAATGTTACAAAAGATTCTATTTCAAATAAATGCTTTTGAACTTTCTATTCATCAAAGAATCCTGAAAAATCTATCAGTGTTTACACAAAAATATTAAGCAACATTGATAATAATCAGTTGTTTCTTGTCCAGTAAATCTGCATATTTTAATGAGTTCTTGAAGGATCATGTGACACTAAAGACTGGAGTAATGATGCTGAAAATTCAGCTTTGTCGTCACAAGAATAAATTATATTTGACAATATATTCCCATAGAAAACAGTTATTTTAAATTGTAAACATTTCACATTTGTACTGTTTTTACTGTATTTTTATGGTCAAATAAATGCAGGCATTGTGAGCATAAGAGACTTCGGTAGTGTACCAGTACTACACTTAAAACATTGTGATGAATTAAAAACAAAAAAGTGAACTAAACAAACATTTTCTCCTCCTGTTCTTCACAGACATTTGACAAGTGTTTTCTGGGCTCATCAGAGACGGCAGACGCTAACCGTGTGTTCTGTGGTCAGATGGGGGCAGTGTATCTGTTCAGTGAAGCTCTCAGTGCTGCTCAGATATTAGCCATCTATCAGCTGGGGCCTGGATACAAGGTGGGATCCATTTCTTTGCCCAAACGGTGTCTTATTATGGATATTAAAAAAAGTTATTGGTAAAAATCCTGATTTGATGAGGTATTAATGTTGTCAAATCACAAACACACATATACTCTGTATGTATTTATTTATTTATTTAGTCATTTAGCAGACGCTTTTATCCAAAGCGACTTACAAATGAGGACAATAAAAGCAGTCAAAACTAACAAAAGAGCAACAATATATAAGTGCAAATGACAAGTCTCGGTTAACCTAACACAGTACACGTAGATAGGTGTGTGTATATGTGTATATATATATATATATATATATATATATATATATATATACATATACACATATACACACACACACATACATACATACAAACAAACACACATATATATATACACATACGTACACACATATATATATCTATAAATACATACATATATA